CGACCCCGTCCCGTCGCCTCCCGTCCCCGTCCGACTTTATATTTAAATTAAAATTTTAAAATATTAATATTTTAAAAGTATTTTTTTTTCTTTTTCTATTACATATAATGTCATTTTTTTTATATTTTACCATTTTTACTTTTCTTCTACCCACTTTTTAATTTTTTTTGTCTTTTTTAATCTTTTATATCAATTAGTTTATTACATTATTCTCTTTCTATTATCTTTCAGCTTTTTCACATTTCCTTAATCTATTCAATCAATTTTTTTTTCAATCTTTTCAACAAATTTGATAAACACAAAGCTAATTTTTTTCTTCTTTGTCTTTTTTTAAATATTTTACATAAATTTTATTAGTAACTAATATTATTTTATTTATAATTTATATTTAGTAGGTTTTATTATGTCATATTTTTTAATCTTATTATTCTTATTTGTCATATATCAAATTTTATCTTAATAAAATAATTGTATTTTAAAAGATTAAAAAGAATTGATAATTTAAACTTTTATTATTTGGAACTAATTAAATAAGAATTAACTTATTAAATATTTCTTTATAAATTATATATTTCATATTTTTAAATGACAACTTAAAAATAAAGTAATTTACATATGTAATCAAATATTTGAATATATAATAATAATAATAATAATAATAATAATAATAATGTTATAAATATTCTATATATATATATAATAATTAAATATTTATTTTACATATATATTTTAATATAAATATAACAAATTAAAATATATATTTAATTAATAATAATTACAAATTATAAAATTATAAATATTTATTTATATATAAAAAATACATAGTAAAATTAATTTATGATAAATATCATTATCTTTTTAAAAATAATATAGATCGGGGACAGGACGGGGCGGAGAAATCCGAAACCTAGTAGGGACGGGGATGAAGACTTAATTTCTAACCTCGACAGGGATCGGGCGGGGACAATTAAAAAAGTCGGGGGCGGGGATCCGACAGGCAACACCCGCCCTTGCCCCTGTCCTGTTGCCATGCCTAGATGGAGGGTGTGCTTCCAGTTGAAGTAGAAATTCCCTCTCTAAGGGTGTTGACTGAAACAAAACTTGAGGAGGCTGAATGAATCCAGATTCGTGTTGACCAATTAAATCTTATTTAAGAAAAAAGAATGATTATCCTATGTCATGGACAATTGTATAAAAAAAGGTTAAAAAGATCCTATGATAAAAAGGTCCACCCTCGACAATTTCATGAAGGAGATTTGGTCTTCAAGAAGATCCTACCAACTCAAAAAAATCAAAGAGGAAAGTGGACGTCAAATTATAAAGGACAATATGTGATAAAGAAAGCTTTTTTTGGGTGGTAAAGAAAGCTTTTTTTGGGAGGTGCCCTTATCCTTTCAAAAATGGATGGTAATAATTTATCACTCCCGATCAATTCTGACATAGTTAAGAAATACTATGCATAAAAAAAAGAAAAAGAGAAGGAAAAAGGGCTCGCTAGGTTGAAAATCTGAAAAGAAGGTCTAGGCAAAATTGAGCAACCCGATAAGCTTAGGTAAAATAGGGGCAAATAAAATTACTTGACTGAAAACCTGAAAGGACGATCTATGTAAAAGTTAGAGCAACCTACAATATCAAAAGTTCAAAAATTAGAGGACAAATTAGAAGATTGATATACACAAAGTTACTCAAGGGATGAAGTTACAAAGTGTCGTATGTTTGCAAAGGTTCATGAATGAACTCTTCAAAATTGTATCACGAAGATTAATATTGTTATTAAAAAACCCTCAAATTATCACTTATGTTTGTATTATTACATATTCCTTAAACAAAAGTTGTTCCAGTATGCACTCTTTCTATTCCGAGTAATAAATATAAATTATCTCAACCACCATCTCTTTGTGTCATTTCATCATTATTATATACCAATAAAGGAACATGCTATAATGTGACGATAATTAAATTAATGCGATGATTTAAAAAAAAATGATATGATATAGGCAGGAACAACTAGTTATTGACAATTTGAAATCTTAAGTAGAAAATCATAACCATTACCCAATTGAAGAAGACGTATTCAACATGTTTTAGAATGAAAATACAATTCAAAGATTGATTCCCTCCATGAATCTTGATACATTTGGACTTAAGGGGTTAAAGTGTAGGAAAATGTGTGATGTGAATATGGCCTATGATAAGGGCTAAAACAAGGAAAGAAAAAGAAACTCTTCAATAAGTATTGTTGGTTGACCAAATTGTGTTTTGGATTAATCAATTAATGGGTTTTAGTTTGGTTTTATTGCAAGTTGTCATAAGGGTCCAATTGAAAACTACTTAATGACTGATTGTAACTGAAATTGTGGCAACCAAAAGTCAATCAGATATACACCCTCTTGGTCTATTTAGCCATAAAAAGTAAGTATAATGTTAGTTCTACATTCAATTTATCAGACTTATCTCTTTTTTATGTAGATGATGAATCCGATTTGAGGACAAATCCTTCTCAAGAGGGAGAGAATGATGTGAACATGACCTATGATAAAGGCTTAAAACAAGAGAAGTAAAGTAAGCTCTTTAACAAGTATTATTGGTTGACCAAATTGTGTTTTGGATTAATCAATTAATGAGTTTTAGTTTGGTTTTATTGCAAGTTGTAATAAGGACCCAATTGAAAATTTAATTAACAGTCTTTGGGAGACCAAGAGGGTGTATAGCTAATTGACTTTTGGTTGTCACAATTTCAGTTACAATCAGTCATTAAGTAGTTTTCAATTCCTAGGTTAATGAAGCATTATTAGCATTTATTTTCCTTTATTGAATATTTATAATTTTGATGACAAAACTTCTATATAGGCTGAACCATATTTATCAAAAATAACAAGTGAAATTTTATTCAGAAATATTAGAGTTTATCTCTTTTATCTTAGTGAAAGTGATTCTCCTAAATTCTTGAGTGATTCAAAAATTTTTGGCTGTATCAAAGGACTTTCATATCCTTTGTGAGTTGCCTTCCTTGGAAAGAGTGATTATTTCCTTCTACCTTATCACTAAAATTCCTAAATTTCCTACAAGGTTCTAACCCTAAAGATCTTAAATCACCCCTTGTGATTCATATCAATTTGCACTAAAGAAAACAATAATAATAAAAAAATAAATCATTAGTCAAAAGTATATGCATCATGAATTTGCATATCATGCATTACATGTCACACTTTATTTATGAATCACATATCATACATTACTTGTTTAAGTTAAGAATAAATAACTATGCACAAACTTATACTCATATGCATAAATAATCAATTTAATCTAAACATTTTTAAATTATATGCACTATAAAGTTCTTCACATTAGGTCTTCGAGCCCATTTTCGAGTTTTCAACATCTCAAATCATAGCTTTATATTTTGCCCCCGAGTCCACCTTCAAATTTTCAGTATTTTAAATCATAATGGGTCTCTGAGCCCACTTCCAAATTTTCAACATTTTAAAATCACAAGTTTTATATTGGGTCTTCCGAGCCCATTTCTAAATTTTTAGCATTTTTAAATCACAAGTTTTACATGGGATCCCCGAATCTACTCCTAAATTTTCAATATTTCAAATCACAATTTTCTATTGTTCTTCTAATAATTTGTTTTATTTGTCCAAGTTGTTAAATTTTCAAAATTTCAATGTTTACAATATTTAATTATGTTTTATTACGATAATATAAATTCAAATTCAAATTATCTAATAAAACTTAATTAAAGAGGTCTTTTTCCTTTGCCCATGGGAGTGTACCATTTTCATGTCGACCCTCTCGCTACATTGCTCTAGCCACCAATACACAATTATGTAAAAATATTATGTAGTTTTCCTACGTTCTTAATTCATTATGGAAAACTACTATACAGGATCTTTAGATTATTGATTTTCACAATATAACATTAGCATCAATACATGAATCATAGTAAGAAGACTAACCTTGATCCATGAGAATCTATTCTTTAATCATTTCGTTCTCCAATCTCCTTTTCCCAATCTATCTCTTTGTCTTTCTTTCTCTTCTCACGCTTTCTTGATTTACCGTGAAAAAACTTTATGACCAGAGACAAAACCCTATTCCCTTTTATTAACCAACCTCCATCAAGTTGGTTACCATAAGATAATATTTTATTTTATCTTTATTTTATTCTAGCTTCACATAATAACCAATAGGTCCTCATATTTTATTAAATCACATTTGGGTCCATCATTATATTTTACATGAGTCACATAATGGAATGAATTAATTAAATTAATTCTAACATTCTCCCTCATGTGATGTCATACGATTATGTGATTTAATACTTAAGTCATAATGCGCATTAAAGGACCTTACATAAATTGGTTTTATCATTATTCATAATTAAAGATACAACTATAACAAGAGTCATAGTGGTTACATGTCATTCAATCGACAGGCTCCCTTCCATGTACCACTATATTATCTCTTTCTCCTTAATATGACTTTATAATGAGAAATCCATAATGAGTTCAAACATAATATCATATTAATAATAATAATAATATAATTTTTTTTTCTTCATCATAATTTGCATGCATATAAATAAAGAAGAAAACAGAAATTTCGAAACTTATACATTAAAGATCTCATAATGTCACATAAACATTAATAATAACATTAACATTCAACATTCACTATTAGTCAACATAATGCCCATATTTACTATATGGCCAGCAAATAACTTGGGCGGTAATCCCTTTGTTAAAGGATCAGCAATCATAAGATCAGTGCTAATATGTTCTATTGACACTCTCTATTTCTGAACTTCTTCTTTAACGGCAAAGTATTTCAATTTCATATGCTCTAGCCACCAGTACACAATTATGCTCCAGCCTCCAGCATAATTTTACTCCAACCTCTAACACAATTTTGCGCCAGCCACCAACATGCCAGCCCAACCACTTCTCTGCTACATTGCTCCACTCACTAACATGTCAACCCTCTCTGTTACACTGCTAGCCTCCGACACAATTTTGCTCCAGCCACCATGTTAGTCCTCTCTGCTCCAGCCACCAGCACAATTCTGCTCCAGCCTCTAGCACAATTATGCTCCAGCCTCGAGCGACCAACATGCCAACCACTAACATGTCAGCCCTCTCTGATACGCTGCTCCAACCACCAACAAGTCAGTCCTTTTTGTTACACTGCTCCAACTGTAACACCCCTTTCGAGATGCCACATATAATTTTTTTTCACAATTATTTTATGTCAAATAACACTTGATAAAATTTTATCCTAAACCTCTTTATTCGTCAAAATAAAATATTATTCATCCAAACAACTAACTTAAACCATCAAAATGAGACTTAATATCAAATATTTCCAGTGCAAACTCAAAATCACTATACTATTACATTATATTCAAAAGGACATTTTCAAATATCTTAAAAAAAACTCCCAAAAAGCTTCCCCACGAACTCTTCACCGCTAAGTTTCTCTAACAGTATCTACATCAACATCTACTCCTGCATACGATCATCGCAGGTGGAAACCAAAACCACAAACATGCAAGGGTGAGCAAAACATGTATCCCATCACATATCATTCATGTCATCATATAATTCACCTAGCATTATCATAATGTAACAAAACTCATTCATAATATCCAAAAGTACATAGTTTCAACACTACAATACTAACACTTTATCATATTACCACAAAGTAAAAACAGACAGTATAAAATTCTCTCATAGTCAACCCCCATATTTTTCCTGCGCACCAACGCCTTTGGAAGAAGTCCCTATCATATTACCACAAAGTAAAAACATACAGTATAAAATTCTCTCATAGCCAACCCCCATACTTTTCCTGCGCACCAACGCCTCTTGAAAAAGTCCATTCCCTTACTTTCCATAGACTTACTAGCAACAACTTCACCTGCTCGACAAAGCCTTGGATGAAACACTCTTGCTAAGCTCATGCTAAAGACTTACGGAGGAACGAAACTCTTTTACCATGACTCGACAAAGTCCTTTAGGTAAAGAAATCATTTTGGATTTGCTCCAACATAATTTTGCTCTAGCCACCAACATGTCAGCCATCATGCCAGCCACCAACATGCCATCCCTCTCTGCTATAATGCTCCAACCACTAGCACAATTCTACTCCAGGTTCCAACACAATTCTGTTCCAGCCTCTAACATAATTCTATTCCAGCCTACAACCATCAACATGCCAACCCAACCACCTCTCTGTTGCATTGCTCCAACCACCAACATGCCAGCCTAGCCACCAACACAAGAGGAGCACAATCCTGCATGTTACCAGAGATTTGGGCTATATATAAATTGAGAGATAACCTCAATAAAGGGATCTTTTTTTTTTGGATGAACACATGAACATAGATAAAACAAAGCAATATCCAACATAATCAATAACAACAACAAGTTCAACACAATCCATATTTGTACCCCTGTTCCCAATCCACTATCGACTTTATATGTAGTATTTGTAGCCTGAAGTATTTGTTGTATACCTAATGTGATACCAGACTGTACATATTTCATAACAACTAATAAAAATTATTAAAACAAATAAAAAATCTTTTACCATCACCATTGGCGACACCACAGCGAGCCCACCACACCACCTCCACTATTTTCCCTTTCGCTCATACTCTCTATTTCTCCTCTAGTCGCGACCACCACCACCTTCACTTCTCCTCACTCCCATTTCAACCTCACTGGAACCTGCCATCCAAGACCATTTCTCCCCCCATCTCCTCTAGCCGCCACGCGCAACTACCACCATCGCAAGACCACCATCGCAAGACCACCGCAAACTGCTCAGTCAGCTCACTAACCTTTTTCCCTCAAAATCGCGAACCCTCTCTTCCCTCGCAAAAAAATCGTCATCATTGTCGTCACCTCTCCTCGCAAAAAAAAGTTTCAAATAGTAAAATAAGTATGCAAGAATTTTTATTTTTTACTGGGCCTAATATTTTTTTTCTTTTGTTTTATTTTGTTAAACTAGACAACATAACCAAGAAAAACAAGTTATAAATAGTAATGAGTCGAAAAAATTATTATTATTAATAATAATGTAACAATAATATATATATATATATATATATTAATAAATAGGTCTTTTATTATAAAATATTTAAATTATCTAAATATTGTAAGTTGTATTTGAAAAATTTTACAAAGATAAATTTTGAGATGTTGTGACCTCTAACAGTAAATCAATTTTTTTATATATATAATAATTATTTTCAAAAATTAAATAAAAAATATTTTATAAATATAAATAAATATAAATTATTTATATTTTCTTTCTTAACTTTTATTTAAAATAAATATTATATTTATCTTTTATATGATTTTTCACTTAATTTTTTTCTATTTTCATATTTTTATTTTTATTCTCTCATATTTTTTTTTTCAGACATTCATTTTCTCATTTTACAATTTTATCTTTTGTTTTTATTATACATTTACTTTATATAGGAATAACTCATATAAGATATTATACAAAATAATAACAGACAAAAGATAATTAATAAGATGATATGTAACAAAATAATTAAGTAAATAAAGTGATTTTAATAAATTTGGGCAGTACCCCCAAGCTTAGAAGCCGAGTTCCTTTAGAAATAAAGTCCTAAAGGGTTAATATTAAGTGGATCATTTTATCGAGTAATGTTTAGTTTTAACTTGTTTATCATATAAATCATTATTCAGTTAGACCAATATATATATATAGAGAAATATGACAATTAAACTCGTACTCGGTGGAGACCAACTTGTCCCCACCCCAATTTTATATTTAAATTTTAATTTTAATTTTAAAATATTGATATTTTAAAAGTATTTCCTTTTTTTCTATTACACAAAATGTCATTTTTTATATTTCACCATTTTTACTTTTCTTCTACACATTTTTTAATTTTTTTGTCTTTTTAATATTTTATATCAATTAATTTATTACATTATTCTTTCTTTTATCTTTCAGTTTTTCATATTTCCTTAATCTCTCAAATCATTTTTTTTCAATCTTTTCAACCAATTTGATGAACACAAAGTTGATTTTTTTTCTTCTTTATCTTTTTCTAAATATTTTACATAAATCTTAGTAGTAACTAATATTATTTTATTTATAATTTATATTTATTAGGTTTTATTATCTTATATTTTTTTATCTTATTATTCTTATTTGTCAATATATCAAATTTTATATGAATAAAATAATTGTATTTTAAAGGATTAAAAAGAATTGATAATTTAAATTTTTATTACTTCAAACTAATTAAATAAGAATTAATTTATTAAATATTTTCTTATAAAATATATATTTCATATTTTTAAATGACAATTTAAAAATGAATTAACTTATATATGTAATCAAATATTTGAAGACAATATAATAATAATAATAATAATAATAATAATAATAATAATGTTATAAGTATTCAAATATTTGAATACAGTGTTATAATAATAATATTATTATAAATATTCTATATATATAAAAATTGATTAAATATTTCTTTTACATACATATTTTAATATAACTATAATAAATTAAAATATATATTTAATTAATAATTATAAATTGTAAAATTATAAATATTTATTTATATATAAAAAATACATAATAAAATTAATTTATTGTAAATATAATTATCTTTTTAAAAGTAATATAGATCGGGGACTGGACTAAGCGGGAAAACTCGAAACCCAATGGGGATAGGGATGAAGACTTAATTTCTATCCTCTGCGGGGATCGGGAAGGTAAAACCCACCTCGTCTCGTGGTGTTGTCATGCCTATATATATATATATATATATATATATATATATATATATATATATATATATATATATATATATATATATATGAGCTTTACTCAACCTATTTATTTTTAATATAAGTTATGTATCGTGTGACTTCAAGTAAGTTATATATAACTCATGAGATTCCGAATAAGGTAGATATATGTTTTGATAACTCATAGTATAACTCATGTGATATTGAGTAATGTAGATGCAAATTTTCATAAGTAATTTATCGAAGTAAAGTATGAATAACTTGTGTAACTTTGAGTAAGGTATATTTAACTCGTGTGACCTCGAGTAAGATAAATACAATTTTTGATAACTCATACCAGAGTAAGGTATGTATGTGACCCTGAATAAGGTAAATGCATATTTTGATAACTCATACTTGAGTAAGGTATGTATAACTCATGTGACCCGAGTAAGATAGATGCAAATTTTGATAACTCATATACCAGAGTACAGTATGTATAACTCGTGTGACCCCGAGTAAGATACAATTTTTATATTTGTGTGATATCGAGTAAGATACAACTTTTATACTCATAATGCCCTAAGTAAGGTAGAATTTTATACTCGTGTGGCATCGAGTAAGATAGAATTTTTATACTTGTATGACATCGAGTAAGGTATACTTTTTATATTGGTGTGACCTCGAGTAAAGTACAATTTTTATACTCTTATGACCTAAAATAAGGTACAACTTTTATACTCATGTGATCCCGAGTAAAATATAACTTTTATATTTATGTTATCCAAAGTAAAATACAACTTTTATATTTATGTCTCGTGTAAGGTGCAATTTTTATACTTATGAAACCCCAATAAGTAAGATAGATGGTGGCTAATGAGATGGAAGAAATTGTGGGGATTGTTTTATCGATATCTCACTTTGGGTGCCAAATATTTTTATTATATGGGAGGAGATTGATAAGAGTACGATGTTAAACTAAAGACTTTAATAGATTAGATTATGAGTTGCAACTTCAAAATCATTGAAAGTATTTACCTTTGAAAATAGCAAAGACCTATTACAAAAAACACTTCAATGCTCAAGTCAGCTTTTAATAAAAAGAGTAGGAAGGATATCTGCAAAAGGGAGTTTTTAACAATAGTTGCTTAATAATAAAAATAAATATTTTATTATGGATTCCATATGAGTTACTTAAAACTTAGTTAGAATAGTCTATATAAACAACTTTCTCAGTAACTCATATGTAGGATCTATAATAAAATATTTATTATTATTCGTAAACAATTTTTTTAATAATTTTCATTGAAGATGTTTTAAGTAATAAGATGAGATTTATTCTTTAGTTGAATGTTTTTATATAGGAAAAAAATAAGAATAATACAAATGATAATAACTTATAATCTAAAAAAATAATGGTATAAGATATTATATAAAATAATAAATAATAAATAATTAATAAAATAATATATAATAAGATGATTAAGTAAATAAAATAATTTTAATGAATTTAGATTTATTTGGAACGAAATCTCTACCATTAATAGAAATATTTTAGTTTTAGTTTTAAAAGTTATCTGTGTATTTTGATAAAAAGAAAATTATTATTACATTTAACTTTTTTTTTAATAATGGTGAAATCATCACGCATCATCAAGAGTGTTATATCAATATAAAATAATATAAGGGAACTCAAATATAAAATCATATTTTTATTAAAACCAAATATATATATATATATATATATATATATATATTAAAATTTAAACAAAAAAAATTTGTATTTGTAGGAATAAAAAAGTAAAATTACATATTGTGAATTTTCGTAATAATAAATATGATCAAAGAATGAGAAGGGAAAAAGAGTAAATTATTATGATAATGGTAAATACGAGTGATTTAGTCATTCTTCAAACAAAAGAAGTCCAATAAAACATTCCAGAAACTTTTTAAGTTAAATTGTCATAATATCAGGTATCCTAAAAGTGAGTGTAATGAGTGTGATGTTTTTATAAACATTTTTCACTTTCGTTATTCTGTAAAACTATCTTCTTTTACAAATTCACTTTTTTATTCCTGTGCCATTTTTTAATTTTAATTCATACGGATATGTTATTGTAAATATGTGTTTTTTTTTATTGTTTTGTGTGTAAAAAAGAGTATGTCCTGTTTTAGGTAGGTTATAATAATATTATTAATATAAATTTTTTATCAAAATATTATCTGTTTTAAAGTTTTTATTATTATTATTTTATATATAAAAAATATTTTGATAAATTAAAACGAAAAAATAATATATATAAACTATTTTTATTCTCAACTCCTAAATTAATATTAACATTTATAAATATGATATTTTTTATTTATTTTGAATATTCATAACATTTTTTATTAGGTTAGTATAAACATTATGTCTTCACTTATATTTGAGAAAATAAATTACTGATAATAATAATTTAAAAATATTATTAATGAAGAAAACAATTTAGACATCGAAACTAAAAGATTCTATTTATCTATAACTAAAAAATTAATTAATCAAAATATATTTTATTAACAATGTGAGTGAAAATATGAAATTTTTATTAATAATTATTTAAATTTTTAGTCACTGTTTTAGTTCCTATTTCACGTTATATTTGGCTTTTACTCTTTTTGATTATTTATTTTTCTTTTAGTTGTTGCCGTAAATGTGATGTTAACACATAATAAGTTAATATATGATATTATCACGAACTAAAATAAAAAAGTAATATATTTATTTATAGGAATTAAAAAAAAAACTTAGTTTTTGTTTTGATTTAAAATATGAGTTTATGTTTTTTTTTTAAATTATTATATTATTAGAAAGATCATCAATAATTAGTTGACTTTTCCATGAACTACTTGTTTCATAATTTAATAATAGATATATATGATTTGCAAATTGCATATATTTTAGATTCTTCGATTTTTTTTTAATAAAGAGAAAGCGTTTTTCTTTCCAAAATTTACTATTTTTACATAAAAGTTACACAATTTAATTTAGGTTGTAAATTTCTTTATCCAATTTAACTTGTTTTACAATCTTTTTAGATTATTTTGATATTTCTATTTTCAACCATTAAAATTTGACATCAATAAAAACTAATTAGTACAATTAATTTTTTAAGTCAAATAAATTTTTTTATTTTATTTACTATTGTGAATTTTCAATGGTTGTAAATATTATAACATTTGAATAAAATAACTTATTTAACATTTTTTTTCAAATAAATCAACGGTAAAAAATTATTAGAAAATTTTATTATAATAATTGTATGAATATGTCATTTTTTATTTCACTTATCTATAATTATATTTTTTAAAGTTTTTATAAATATGTTATTTTTGTTTTTTATTTTTCTAAAAATATTTTTTAATTTTATTTCTATAAATAAAATATTTTTTCATTTTAATACTTATTACTTTTGAATATTGTGATGGTATATGCTGAATAGCATTTTTAATTGTGGGACATTATCAGGAACAAGTATTAAAAAGAAATAAAAAATTCAATGGTGACAGAAATTAAAAATAAATAAATAAATAAAAACACTGCATATTATTAAGATGAGAAGAGTTTAATATTATTATTATTATTATTATTAGAAATAGATTGTAATGTGTATGCGTGTTTTTTTTTATATATTATTACTTTCTTTAAAATTCCTCTTTAGCTAAATTATATATCTGTCGTATTTTATTTATTTTTTATATTATTCTTTATCCACTTTTCATATATTTCATACTTTTTTCCCTCATCTTTCTTAAGTATATAATTTTTTATCTTATATTATTTTTTCTCTCATCATCAATAACATAATAAAATAATTATATTTTATTTAATAAATGATTTATAAAAAAACCGTATAAGAATATAAAAAAATAATGTTATTTATGCTTTTTTTTAATTGTTAATTTATTTTAATTAATATTTTTGACTATATTTATTTAATTTAATTACTAGAGTTTTTTCAAAATTTCATTTAATTTTAATATTTTAATGTATCCTGTTTTCTTGAACTTTTTTTATGCGTTCAACAAATAAAATGAAAAGTTATTTTCGAAATGAATATTAATAGTCAATGTAAAAGATTTTCTGTCATTTTAAAATATTATTATTATTATTATTATTCATGAACTCTTCTCAAAGTTTATACTATTACACATAAAATATATAATAAATATTTATTTTATTAATTAAAACTTATAAATAATAAATATTTTAAAACATGTAAATTGTATTTTAAATTTATAAAAAATAATTTATATTTTGTTATAAGGATCTTTTTTATTATTTAAAAGATTTTTTAATTTAGAATTAAAGATGAAATAGGTAAAAACAAAAGTTATCAGAAAAATAAAATATTTGAAATCCTCAACGACACCGTTCCAATCTGCTGAATGGTTACCCTAATCGCCACCCTGAAAGAAGTAGAGAACAAGCAAGCTCATACCAGGCCCTCACCGCCGTGCGCCGCCGTCAAATTCCAAAGAAGCTGCCCGCCAAACTCCGGTGCACTTGAGATACTGACACGTCAGGTTAGCCACGCTATTTTCACAATTCCAGAATTCTGTAGTGATGGTATTGAATTTCCAATGAAAATTGTGATTCTGTCGAAATCCCAATCACTTTTTGAATGCTTGTTAGTTTCTTAGACCTAGAAGTAAAGAAGCAGACTATCTTGCACTTCTGCTGCTTGATTTCTAAATAGCCCGTTTAACAACGAAGAAAATATTTTTCTCGTCATTACCTGTCTTAATCATAATTCATGGAATTCCTCTGTTGTGTAGGAACGCATTGGTTTCTGAACATAGTAAAATGGAAAACTGGGAAAGTTCTGGAGATCTTATTGAAATCAATTCACAGAGGTAAAATTACCCCTTTGTGTGGAAGCTGTAAAAAACGGGGGAAAGCAATTTTTTTTAACGTGTCTTTAAATGATCTGAATGTTTGTTTTTTGGGTAGTTTCGGAGATGGTGATAGTAATGCACTAATTTTGCCTGCTAAGAGGATGAGGAAAAGGAAAGGGAAGGAACAGGTAGAGACAGTTGAACATGCTTCTTTGTTCATTCAAATTTTAATGTTTACAAACTTTGTCTGATCAAATTCTATTGATTAGGAACATGGAAAAATTAAATCAAATAAGAAACAGAAATTGAGCAAAACTCAGAAGAAGAAGAAGAAGAAGTTTGAGGTTTGTTGGGTAGACAAAAAGTGAATGCTTTTCATTCTCTTCTCTTCTGTTACTAGTCTCAGTTATTTTAATTGCCTATGTAGGATGACGAGAAGAAACAACTTCTTCTGGAAAAAGCTATTCAGAAATTCAAGTATGTGAATGACTTATTATTCAGTTACAGTTATTTTCTTTATTGTTGTATTCTGTGGAAAGCATTAATTCGTTGATAAAAGTTTTAATTAATTTTTTCCAGTGAGAACACACTTCCAGAGTATGCATATCCTCTTTTGCTGTCTTCATGCAAAATAAACCGGGTATGTATTGTTGAAAAAGTGATAGTTTTATGATAAAATTAATTAGTATTGAGACTGTTTGTTATTAATGCCGTCTTATACTTATAGGATGAGACTACGAAGGAAAAGCGTAGGAGGGCTGTTCATTTATTGAAAGAAGGATTGGAGGTTTCATATGATGGGCTGTCCAAGAAACCTCAGATGGATGAAATTCATTTAGCACAAGCTGATGAAGTTGAAGAAAATGACATTCAAATTCAACCCATTAGATCAGTAGAAGTCTTAAATACAACGTCAGTGCCTTTGGAGTCCTCTGAAGAACCACTTCATTGCAATGAAGTGGAAAACTACAAATATGTTTCTGAGAATCTTGCTGACATTTCAATTGTCAAGAAACATGATGAAATCAGAAGTTTTCCCTTGTCTTGTTCGGTTGATGAAATAAAAAAGACCAATTTAAAGGTATAGTGCCTAATCAGACTGGAAATTAGTGTGTATAATCAAGGGACAAAATATAATTCAATTGTTTCATTTTGCTTCATTGGAAGAATACCCTATATATATATATATATATATATGTAGGTATAGTGCCTAATCAGACTGGAAATTAGTGTGTATAATCAAGGGACAAGATATAATTCAATTGTTTCATTTTGGATCATTGGAAGAATACCCTATATACATGCTAACACATGTATTAGCATATTCATCAGTTTACCTTCTTTTTTTGTCTGTAAAAATTACACACGATTTCAAAATTTTGTTTACTGTTGTTAACTTTGGGAGAAATGATATTGTGTACACACTACACTATGCTTATATTCCTGTAACAGTATAGTTGGTTAATATGTCATATTTTGTTATTAATTGATGACATGATTTGTGAGATCCCTTTTGTCTTTCTTTACGTTACTTCAATGCTTTTTGCATTTGTTTGTTAAAATGGGACAGGATAGAACAGATGAGAACCACAACTCCAATGAATTGAGCAACCTTCCTGATTATTCTGCACCAAGACCTTCAAATGTTCCTACTGTTGTTCATGTGTGTAGACCAAGTGAAGTTGAAGACAAAAGAAAGGATTTGCCTATAGTTATGATGGAGCAAGAGATAATGGAAGCTATAAATGATTCCTCTAGTGTTATCATATGTGGAGAAACTGGATGTGGTAAAACAACTCAAGTTCCTCAGGTTAGTTTATCTGATACCTGATTATGGTGATAGGGTCCATTTTATTTAGCAGACCTGTTGACTGCTTTCTTTTTCATTTTTTAAATTTATCAGTTTCTTTATGAAGCCGGTTATGGTTCAAGTAAGGGTATCATTGGTGTTACTCAACCACGTAGAGTGGCTGTTCTTGCCACAGCTAAGCGTGTGGCATATGAGCTTGGTCTCCATCTGGGGAAGGAAGTTGGTTTTCAAGTCAGATATGACAAGAAGATTGGTGAAAATTGTTCTATCAAGTTTATGACTGATGGAATTTTGCTACGAGAAGTTCAGGTTGTTACTACCCCATTTAATACTGACAAGTCCTTCTATCATAAGATCATGGAAATTCAGAAATATTTTTTATATTAAGAAACAAGGATCCTTGTATATTACTTAAAACTTAATACATGATAGAATCTATGAATTTATTATTTATTGTGTAACATCTTAATCCATCATTCCAAAGGCAAATCACTTATTTGAGAAGATTACTATTTGTATGTGAATGTGAGCACATTTTAGGATGATACGTATTCCATGTCACCTTGGAAACTGAAAATTGCTTTATTAAAAATTTTCCTCTCTAATTTGCTATTGTTTTAGTATTGTTGTTATGATGACAACATGCTTTAGTTACACTAAAACAAGATTTGTTATGGAATTACAGAATCATATATACTTATGTTGTTTGATTGATTAACTGGTGTAGAATGATATTTTGTTGAGACGCTATTCTGTCATAATTCTTGATGAGGCGCATGAGAGGAGCTTGAACACTGACATTTTGATTGGGATGCTCTCACGTGGAATTCAAACTCGCCAAATGGTTAGTGTGAAGATTCTTTAATTTACAAATGAAATATTCTCTCTCTCTCTCTCTCTCTCTATATATATATATATATATATATTAATCATGCCTCTGACATTCTAATCAGGATGGTCTTTAAATTTTATTATGACAGATTTATAACAAACAACAGAAAATGATACTTTCAGGGGAAATTATAAGTCCTGAAAAAATGATTTTTCCATTAAGACTTGTGCTTATGAGTGCCACCTTGCGTGTACAAGACTTCACTTCTGGAAAGTTATTCCATACTTCTCCACCTGTGATAGAAGTTCCTACAAGGCAATTTCCAGTATCTGCATACTTCTCAAAGAAAACAGAGAAAACAGATTATATTGGCGAAGCATATAAGAAAGTCTTGGCAATTCACAAGAGGTTGCCACCTGGGGGCATACTTGTTTTTGTTACTGGGCAAAGGGAAGTAGAGGACTTGTGCAGGAAATTACGGAAAGCATCAAGGGAGTTTATCAAGAAAAAAGTTGAAGGGTGTGTGGAAACTGATAGAACTGTGGTCAATGAAACAAACTCTGTTGAGGGAGTAAATATTAACGAGATCAATGAAGCATTTGAGGTTCATGGAAGTTCATCCATCCAGCAAACTGATAGATTTAGTGGTTATGATGAAGATGAGGATAATGCAAATGAGAATGAATCTGATTTTTCTTATGACTCTGAAACAGAGAGTGAACTGGAATTTGATGATGATAATCTTGAGCTTTCAGAGAACAATAATGAAATTGTGGATGTCTTAGGACAGCCAGGTAGTCTTGCTTCACTAAAGGCTGCTTTTGAAAAATTGTCTGGGAAGGCCACATTAAGTTCCTCAAATGAAGAGAAGACAGTTTCTCTGAATTTAGAAGGTAATTTAGACCAATCAATAGTTCTCAGGGGGAAAAGAACAAAAGAAAGTTGCAGTCCTCCAGGTGCACTCTGTGTTCTACCTCTGTATGCCATGCTTCCTGCAGCAGCTCAACTTCGTGTATTTGAAGCGGTTGGGGAGGGAGAGCGGCTTGTAGTTGTTGCCACAAATGTTGCCGAAACATCTTTAACCATCCCAGGGATAAAATATGTGGTTGATACTGGAAGAGAAAAGGTGAAGAATTATGACCCCTCTAATGGTATGGAGACATATGAAATACAATGGATAAGTAAGGCATCTGCTGCACAGCGTGCAGGCAGATCTGGAAGAACTGGACCTGGACACTGTTACCGTCTCTATTCTTCTGCAGCCTTTAATAATGAATTTCCTGAGCACTCTCCTGCGGAAGTTGAGAAAGTACCTGTTCATGGTGTTGTACTTCTCTTGAAATCCATGCATATTAAAAAGGTAGGTTAACTGTGTTGCTTTATCCATTAGGTTTTCATTCCATTTGCTTGTTTATGTTGGGTGCTCTCATTAGAAGATCTGGTAGGAAGTAGTTCGTTATGTACTTCTTTCATAGCTTGGTTATTTATGATGGGCTGAGTGAGGGAATCTGGGTGAGGGAATGGGATCCTACGCAAACCAAATGATCTAAAGCATTATAATCTAAACTTTTCTCCTGCTTTGTCAATTTTGTTCTATATGGTAAAATTTACAAGGTTTTTTAGATGTCTGGCTATGTGATTTATTCATTTCCTAACCGCTCAAATTGGATTTTCCATTATTTTTCTGTTCTGTATTTTAGTTTGAGGTATTTCTTTTACTCATTATTATTGTTTCTCGTCCAGGTTGCAAACTTTCCATTTCCCACTTCTCTTAAAGCTGCTTCTTTGATTGAAGCTGAAAATTGCTTGAAATCTCTTGAAGCACTTGATAGCAAGGATGAACTTACACTTTTGGGAAAAGCCATGGCACATTATCCCTTGAGTCCTCGTCATTCTAGAATGCTCCTCACTGTTATTAAAAGTACAAGACATGAGCTTAAATGTAATTCAAATATGCTTTTGGCATATGCTGTTGCAGCTGCTGCGGCGTTGAGCTTGTCAAATCCTTTTGTAATGCAATATGAAGATGGTAGCAGCAGAGATTCAGAGATGTCTGAGAAATCTACAATGGGAGATGCTGAGAAAGACTTTGATAAAAAAGGAAAGTCAAGCAGAAAGAAACTTAAAGAATCCTCCAAAGTTGCACGCGGAAAATTTCGAGTTGTCACTAGTGATGCCCTCAGCATAGCTTATGCATTACAGTGTTTTGAACATTCACGGAAATCAGTAGAATTCTGTGATGACAATGCATTGCATTTCAAAACCATGGATGAAATGTCCAAACTTCGACAACAACTACTTAAACTGGTCTTTTATCAGAGTGATAATGGTGGTCTCGAAGAAGAGTACTCATGGACCCATGGAACATTAGAGGATGTAGAACGTGCTTGGCAGGTTTCTTCTGAAAAGTACCCACTTTCTCTTGTTGAGGAAAGGCTCATCTGTCAAGCAATATGTGCTGGCTGGGCAGATAGGGTTGCTAAACGTATTACATCTTCTTCTAGGGCCTTTGAAGGAGAGAAAACATCTCGAGTCTTAAGGTATCAATCATGCATGGTTGATGAAAGTGTTTTACTTCATCGTTGGTCTACAGTTTCCATTGTAGGCCCTGAGTATTTAGTTTACAATGAACTATTAGAGACCAGAAGACCAAATAAAGAAGGGATAACAAGTACCAAGAGAGCATATATGCATGGAGTAACAAGCGTAGAGCCAGCTTGGCTTGTTGAGCATGCAAAGTCTTCATGCGTCTTTTCTTCCCCCCTGATGGATCCTAGACCTTTTTATGATGCTCAGACTGACCAAGTAAAATGTTGGGTAACCCCATCCTTTGGGCGTTTCTGTTGGGAGCTTCCAAAGCATTCATTGCCCATTAGCAATGATGAACATCGGGTGCAAGTGTTTGCCTATGCTTTGCTTGAAGGCCAGGTGTGTCCCTGTTTAAAATCTGTTCGAAAATACATGTCAGCTCCCCCTGAAAGTATCTTGAAGAGAGAAGCATTTGGTCAGAAAAGGGTGGGAAATCTTTTAAGCAAGTTAAAGAGCAGGCTGATTGATAGCTCTGCCGTGCTAAGAATGGTGTGGAAGGAGAATCCAAGGGAACTATTTTCAGAAATTTTGGATTGGTTTCAGCAGAGTTTTCACAAGCACTTTGAAGAGTTATGGTTACAAATGCTTAACGAACTGCTTGTGAAGACACAAGAACACCCTCAGCATAGAAGTTCCAGAAAAAAGAAAGAAAAATCGAAATCACTCTGTTAATTTCTCAACATTGAAGGTAAAATGCCCATTATTCAATTGTTTGTGTAATGCAAGTTCTTACTGTACTTCCTTATCAACAATATTTTTTGTCAAATCTCCTGCATATACATTTTTTTTTGTGTACTCAGAATTTGATATATTATTTGGGGAGGTGGACCAAAATGTTTTACTGTTGTGAATTTGTTGGGTGGAAGGTTGCGCTGTGGGTTTAATATGGTACAGCCTATGTTGCATTTTCTCCAATCGTGTATATAATTTTTTTTGTCTTAAATGTATTATGTTGCAATCTGCAGGAAAAGAAGAAAGCATCCCAGTATTAGCCACAACATTGGTCAACAAGAAAATGGTGAGCAGCTCCATCAACTGTATTCCTCAACTTCCTCAGCACACTAAATGCTGTAGCATGGTCAAACACATAGCTGAACTAATTTTTTTGCATGAGATGATTCAGAAATTCTGTTTTTCTTTGATAATCTTTGGCATGCTTTGGTGGAGGCTGTATAGTTTCGTGAGCGAAAAAAGTGAGAAAATTACACGAGGGGAAATTGATCAGGATTGAATTTGTACTTCATCAGTCTTGTATCTTGCGGAATTTATTGGCTAACAATTTTGTACTGACTAGACAAACAGTAGTTGATTTTGGTTGCTAATGAACCAAATTTGAAGTTTGGTGAAGCAAAGAGTATGGGCTATTTTTGAAGATCTTGGACATATTCCATTATTATACACTTTTTGACAATTTATTGTGGAGGTCAGAATATTTCAGCATTTGATTGGAGCTTCCTAGTGCTTAATTTATAACAAATTTGCTATTCTCTAGAATTAAATTATCCTTTAACTGCACGCTCAATTTTGCATTTACATTTGAATAAGTAGCTCCTTCCCTTTTCCCATTCAATATGTTAAAAATTGGACACCATGTTTGCAAATTTATAAGTATATTTATTATATTTAGAATTTCCTATTTATATTCTAAGGAAATAAAGTATTAATAAAATTGTGACATGTTTAAATTTAAAAATGATCTGTGAACCAGTTAATTTGAAAAAATGTCTCGTGTATACAAATATTTAATAAAAAGGAGGACATATTGAAAAACCTATGAAATTAAAATTAACAGAAGCATATATTTATTTATTTTATCGTTTTATTCCAGAAAAACATGTTGAGAGATGAACAATGTCGTGTTTGATAAAATAAGATGGCAATGAATTAGATAAGAATAAGAATAATAAAATCCTATAACATTCCTGAATTAGAATACTTAGTCATTTTTCATTTCATTTTAAAATCCAAAATCATTTCGCCCACCGTGGGGCTCGAACCCACGACCACGAGGTTAAGAGCCTCGCGCTCTACCAACTGAGCTAGACGGGCTTACATTTATAACTGATTTTTAATATTTATCATTTTTTTTGTCGTTTATGTGATCATAATATGTATAAAGTTAGACCATAAAATATAGCATATTATATATATATATATATATATATATATATATATATATATATATAAAATAAATAATACTTCGTGATCTTAATTAACTTCAAATTAATGATAAATATATTTTTATCTTCTCACTTTACACATGTATTCCTTTTTAAAAAAAGTTAACCTTAAATTATACATTCCATAATTATATAATGTTAGCAATATTATTTTTATACTCTTTAAATAGTTATGCACAAACAAAAAGTTTGAATAAATATATTTTTAATATTGAGCTTAACATATATATATATACTCTATTGATACAGAAATATTCAATCAATGGTTTTAAGGTGTTAATAATATATATTACTTGAGTACAACTAAAATGCTTATTAAAAAAAATTCAACTTTCATCTGATGTTTTTATAATAAAGTTAAAAACAATTATTGTATTTTTTAAATAAAAATTAATGCTTGAATTAAGTGTATGTCTATTCTATTTAATTTTACTTTCACTAGTTATATAAAATTGATTCAGAAATTTTAAAATTTAACACAGAGAACTTATTGATTCATGAACAAATTAAAACCCCACTTTCCAAGATCCATCCTTTTCCATTGTTTTTGAAGAATTCACTCAGATAGTATGAAGCTGTCAAGTCCTTTGTCTCACCTTCTAGATATTTTGACCAAAATAATGCACCTCTAAGATATTTCATCACCCATTTATTTATTAATTAATAATAATAGTATCAATCTCAACAATTTAATTTGTTAATAATAATTTTTATTAAAAAAATTATTCAACACTAATTTTAAAAAAAATCACCAGAAATTTATCCCCCAAAAAAGTCTTACAGTGACTACTATTACAACCTTATTAGGTAAAATCACATCTTAGCACTTTTCAAAACCTTGTCTCAATTATTGTAATAAACTATTATTTTTTAATAAAAAATAGTATGGTATAGAAGAAAAAGAAACAAAGCAAATAAAAAAAAAACACAAATTAAAAAAAAAAACAATATTTTCGTTCCTCTCGGTGCTGTGTAGACTTCTTTCTTCTTCTTCTTCCTTTTCTTCTGCACTCAAACATCAAAATCTCCCTTTTCCAACCCAATTTTCTCCATAAACCCAAGATTCACCGCACCCTCCCACAAAGAAAGAACCAGCGACTCAACAACAGTTTTTCCGCACTGAGGTTTGCGTGGGGGCATCGCCGTGTCTTTCCTTCGAGGAATTTTATGAGTTTTCAGAACATCGGTTCTTGTTTCGTTTGTGGGATCCCCGTGAAGGAGAGAAAGTAACGAACTTTGGGGCTGAATCGTGGTGGGTGTGCCGAGTATGCATAGATCTGGAGCTACGATGGCGTGGAACGTGTTCAAGTTCTGCACTGCTCTGCGAGGATTGGGCTCGATCATGATTCTGTTGGTTCTTGGGGTCGTTGGTGTCACTTATTATGCTGTTGTTTTGACCAATTATGGCCCTGCTTTGTCTGCTGGAGGACTTGATTCTGTTGTTGCCTTGCTAGTTTTGATCTTGTTTCACAGCTTGGTAAGCTTCAAAAACGGCTTTCTGTTTTGAATTTAGTGATCTTTTTAGGTTTTTTCAATTTTTGATTTCTTTTATGAGAAATCGAGGGGAAGTATGAGATATGTTTGTCAATTTGTTTGACCTTAGCTTGTCATAGCTGCAAGTAGTGGTTAGTTAGTAGTTAGGATCGTGATCCTTTATGTGGTTTATGTAGCAAGCAAGAGTTTGTTGCCTTAACAATGATACTAAAGAGTGAGTTTGCTGAGAAGTAGTTGAGCATGATGTTTATGATGTGTATATGGGAGTTCATTTTGACTTTAGCCTTTTGTAAGCTACTGGAATGCAGTTCAAAGTTAAATAATTAGTTTGATGGATTGATGGAGTGTGGTCTTTTGGCGTGATATTGTAATTTGGATTTTTTCTCTTGGTTGAGCAGTTGGTTATGCTGTTATGGAGTTATTTCTCTGTTGTTTTTACTGATCCTGGGAGCGTTCCTCCGAGCTGGAGGCCTACGGTTGATGAGGAAAGAGGAGAGGCTGATCCACTTGTTGGGACGGAGTTTAGTAATGTGCAGGCTGATCCCAATCAACGGATTCGGTACTGTCGGAAGTGCAATCAGCTGAAGCCGCCGCGATGCCACCATTGTTCCGTTTGTGAGTTTTATCACCTGCAAAAGTTTGCACTTTTGTGTTGCAACTTTGAGATAAGTCAGAAAAAGTTTGATGTTTTTTTGGCTTTATACCAGGTGGGCGCTGTGTTTTGAAGATGGACCACCATTGTGTGTGGGTAGTCAACTGTGTTGGGGCTCTAAATTACAAGTATTTCCTTCTCTTCTTGGTATGGAGGCCTTAGCTGGAGTTATTGTTTTATTATCTAGCTAATACTCGTGTGAATTGTATTATTTCTGACTTACAAGTTTGATCGTTTTGATGTCTCTGATTCTCTGAAGAGCTGTGCTTATAATTTTGTGATGTGCAGTATTTTATATTATGCACTGGTTTCAAAAAATTTGAAGTTAGAAAGCAGAAACATACGCATACTAAATTACTTCTATTCTAACCGGGTTTCAATTTCCTTTTTCTGTAGTGTGCACTGTGCTTAAATGTAGCCAATTAGCCATGCTACTGAATTTGATTTGCAGATTAAACTTATTTCTTTTCAAATTTTGTATTGGATGGGTTCTCTGAATTTGGACTATCCTAGTGATTTTCATATGCAATGTTTTGACAACACTGAGTGAGTAAGCTTAAATGGAGATTTTTGTTGACAATTGTCATGTTTCATGACGTGGGCTAAGCTATTCTATTATTAGAATAATTGAGCCACTAGTAGTTGCAGTTTTATGACTCCCTGTTGCAGTCCATACAGCTAGCTAGTCAGAAACTTTCTTTAGGAGCTGAAGTATTATGTAACCCTAATTATGATACATGTTTCATCGCTTTTGATTTGTCACCTTGGGTGGCATAATGGATGATATTACTTTCATAAGATTAAGGAGGTCAAAGAAAGACGGCTTCTCCTGTCTAATGTAGCAAAGAACTCATACTTTTTGTGTTTTGTAATTCTAATCCTAGTGGGCATGTTAATACAAATTTCATTAGGCCCTAGCATTATTCACTTTCTGTTTTCCAAGTGACCTGTGTTAAAGGCTAATTAATCAGTTACCTTTTTTCCTGTGTTATAGCTTTCATTATGTATACTCTGTAACGAATGTCACATTAGTATGTAGTATATAAGTCTTCACATTTTTCTTGTAACTATAACATTTTGTAAAATTGTTCGTTTTATGTATTGCCTTTACGAAATACTTACCTTTGTTAATATGATTTGATTGAATCTTAGTGCAGTTCTACACTTTTCTTGAGACAACTCTGGTGACTGCATCTTTACTGCCACATTTTATAGCATTCTTTAGTGATGGAGAAATCCCTGGAACACCTGGCTCTCTTGCTACAACCTTTCTTGCTTTTGGTAGGGTCTCAGAACATGGTTCAAGCTGTTGGTTCCATCTTTGAATTTCTATAACAGTGTTGGGTTGCCTGCAGTTTTAAACCTGGCCTTTGCACTAAGTGTCTTAGGATTTCTCATCATGCACATATCTTTGGTGGCTGCTAATACTACCACTATTGAGGTAAACTTTTGCGTAAAAATAAGCTAGAAAAAAAATGTTACCTGTCTTACTTCTTTGAAAGTAGATCCGGAATACCTATTCTCACTTTTACTGAAGAAATTGTTCAGCTCCTAGTTAGTATTTGTCTGCATCTGAATTGATGACGATTTCATGGTGCATAAACTGTACCCTCTGTTGCAGATGTAGATGTTTTGAATGTGATTGTGCTGTAAAGATTTTACAATATTCTTCTAACACTTTCATGTGTTTTCCTTGTGGTATAGCTAATGTTAAATGGGAACTGATCAAATTTGTTTCCTTGTGAACAGGCTTATGAAAAGAAAACCACTCCAAAATGGCGTTATGACCTTGGGCGTCGAAAAAATTTTGAGCAGGTCAATAACATAGTTCTACAACACTTTCATTTTACATGTTCTTTTATGGTTGAGTTTCATACTGGCTGCAAAAGTAGTGTTTGATAAATGGTGTCACTTGAATAAAATCCTTTAACCCTAAACAATCTAAGCACTAAACAATAAGGGAAAAATATCGTTGAATAAGAGCCGTGTATATTTTAAAAATAAAACTTGGACACACATACACTGATTCATGCACGCCCAATTGCTTTTCAAGATGTCAGTTTGAAATTATAAAGTTGAAAGTTATTTTAGTTTTCAAAGTATCCAATACATGATTCACTTTGAATTATTGAAACTTTGAAAGACAATGCTGTAACATAATTCTTTTCCCACTCATGTTTCACCCCATGTTAGTTATAATCTAATGTTGTAAACACAATTTCATTCATATTCTTAGGCTTAACTTGAAATGGATCAAATGAGAAGCAACACTTTAAAAACCAGCTCCAATTTAGCTAACACCACCTTAATATCTGTTTTAATATCTCTTCAGGACTTTGCTTGGAATAATTAAATTTTAAATGGTGATGCTTGTGTAGGAATTGTGTTTGTATCTTAAATATATGTCTAGTATTAACGTGTTAAGCTTTTGAAATATTTGTTCATGACATGAAATGGTCTAGAGTTTGATACTTGCTGTCTCTATTTTTCTAGATGAAAGTTAAATTTCTTTTAAAAGTAAGGTGGGGTACATTGTCTACACTTTCAAGTCAAATAGGCTCTCATGTGAGGTGGCTTGTTAGAGATATAAAAGTATAAAACCATTCATGTTGGATCCACTCCAATTTATGATAAATATTAGACCCTACAACCAAATGTGGCAAGTCGGTGTTGGATGTGATAAATGCCTCTTTCTTATAGGACTTTATCTTGTTTTTTAGTGTGTTTGGGTGAGTGTTTGCAAAACTGATTCTAAGTGGAATTGATTTTGAAGTGATGTGTGATTTATGTTGAGTGTTTTTGTTCTAAAACCGAGTTATTAATAAAACTCTAAAAAATGTTATCTATCATAGTTACCTGAAGTTGTTTCAACTCAAACTCAGTTTTAGATCTAGACTCAATTTTCTAGCATGGGACTAAACATATGAATATTTACCTAAGTTATGTTTGCTTGTATTTCAACGTGATTTTGGATGACCTACATCAAACCAAACACTCTTAATAACTGGAGAGAAACCCAATCCTTTATTGGGATATATGACAAATGAGCTAGCAGATGATGAGTTATGATTATAATATGGATGCTGGGGTGTTCTTATTCTGGTATTATTATTGACTAACGAATGTGGTTACATTATGATCGATGTGGCCTGGATATCAGGTTTTTGGAATGGACAAGAAGTACTGGTTCATCCCTGCTTATTCAGATGAGGATATCCGAAAGATGCCAGCTCTACAAGGTCTTGACTATCCTTCAAAACCTGACTTTGATTCCCAATAGTTCTAAAAGCTAATATATATTCACATCATGTAACAAAAGACATGGAGAGACTGCACAATCCTCCACTTCCACTTTCTAACACAATGTAGCGTGTAAGTAAATGTGCCCCCCCTCAGCAATTCATCTACACAGACTCAGTATGATGATGTTTTCTTCATTTTTTGAAATTGTTTTTAAGGGTGCTTATGTCATGCTGAAATGAATGAAGCAATTGGGGGCAGGGTTTGTGATACTGGTTTCAGGGGCTAATGTGTTATGTTCCCCATAATCATAGGAACTGTTTTGTCAAGCAATGCAATATTCTTCTTACCTTTCCTTTTTTATTCAGTTTGAGTGAAATTGCAATCCTTTTTGGTGCTGGAATTTACTCTCTGAATTTTATAACTGTGAAGGTTGAAATTTAATCAAAATTGTTCATAATAGTTTCTGAAAAGTACTATTGGACAAGGTTCTTGCATTAGTTTCTCCTCTTTTAGGTAAGATAAACAAGTTTTGTAACTTTCTGAGGCAAAATGCTTCTCCCTTCCAATATTTTGTTTCATCATTTAGCCAAAAAGTTCATTCTTTATTGAATGAAGAACTTGAAAATGACAACTATGGTTCATGAAACTAAAGCAGGTTTTTCTTACACCTTAATTTCTTCCCACACCTATGAAATGTAAAAAAAAAAAAAAAAAAATTCTGGGTTGGTGCAAGAAGAAATTTTTGGATGTAGAAAGCAACTGTATGAAACTGTTGATCAGTCCCACAATTGAACCAAATACTTTATGGCAGATTTAGTGTTTAAATGTTTTTAAGTCATTAATTGAAAAACAAATTTAAAAGAATTTATTAAAAACACAATTGTTCATTACTTGCACTTAAATTAATGAAACAATAGTACCAACCCAAATAAGGAGGGATCTAATCTATCGAGTATAATAGGATCATAAATAATTTGTTTTGTAAAATAACCATTAATTTTTTATTCCAATAAACATTTTTTCAAATAATAGAGAATAAATAATTTAAATTATACGAACAACTCAAATTTTGATAATTATTCATAATTTACGTAAACTTATTGAAATTTAACATAGATATCAACACAAAGATACAGATAGAAGAAATAATTTCTTAAAGGTAATTTGAGATGAATGAAACATTTTTTTTTTGTGAAATGTATATATAAAGAACGTCTAACTAAGAGAGTAGATATAATTATTCAAAATGTTTACTAGAGTTTTTTATTTTCTGCACCTATATGTATATATTTTTTAAAATTACTCTTATATGTTTCACAGAATTGATAATTCGAACAAATATTTGAAATGTTAATCTGGAACAGATTTTTTTTTCTAATTCCAATTTAAACAACCCATAAATTATCACATTGATGGATCCAAAAATTTCCTGGTTAGAATATTCGGAATATTAAAAATTAATATTCTTTTTTGAATTTCCCAATTCGATAATTATCTTCATGGGCAATTACATTGCATCCACATTGCAAATTGCATTTGCATCAATTACATTTGCGTAGCTCTTGCGTCCACATCCCTGTAAACTAATAAATAAGAACTTATTTTTTTGAAAATTAATTTTAACAGTGAGAAAATTACTCTTTAAAGTAATAAAAAAATGAGGCTGACTTAAAAAAAAATATTAGTGCTACATGTAAAAAAAATTATGATTACTGAATTTTTATGCTCGAAATATTATTTACATAATCTTGATTAACTCGTAAACTTATTTTTAAAACGGCTCATATAAATTAATATTGAAAATTTTCATAATTGTAAAAAATACTCAGTTTTTTTTTCTTCTGAATTACGAGTCATTTAAGTATTTGATTCTCATATCAGAATTTTCCTAATCCTTCCGTCAATCCCTAATTTATAAATAAAAAATTAAATGAACAAACAATTTCCTAATTTAACTTACCTTCTTTAGAATTCTTTTTAAAAGTTACCCTAATTTAGTTAATTTGATAACCTAAAAAAGAGCGCCACATAAAAAAGATATAACGATATTATTAAAAATTGCATCATGAAGAGAAATAGAGAGAGAGCCAGAAGGTTCTAGTTTCAAAATCAACGTGTCCTTCTCCTAGTGTCTCGTCTCTACCATATAAATTGGTCCCCTTATTACAAAGTTTCAATTCGAATTTTTTGTTCTTCCTTCTTCTCTCCCTCAATTCAATTCTTATCCAATTCCTCAGGTAATCACATTCATAATATTTTATTCTTTTGTGAAATTCAAATTCTTTTCAGTGTAAGAATTGAAGTTTTGGTATCCCTTTTATTTAGTTTTATGAAGCCACATTTCTGCTTCTTTATAGGTGACAGATTTCATCAAGATAAATTATGATACGTACAATTTGTTGTGATTGCTTCTATAATTCATGTTTTTTCTTGTGTAGGAGTTATGACCATTGTATGGTACTAAATGTATATGTTGTTGGATGAAGTTTTTGATTGCACATTTTATGTTATTTTTATTTTTTGGATTTTTCTTTGGTTTTTTGGATTTTTCTTTGGTGAAGATTAGATTAGCTAAAGAAGATGCAGAAGCGTAGAGAAGTTCAAGATGATATTTTTGAACCAAGAGGGTTTGGAGATTTTGGTGGCTTTAGACTTCACGGAAGAATGATGCCAAGTCTTTTTGGAGGCAGGGATCCATTTGATGATCCCTTCTTCAGTGACCCATTTGATAGCTTGCTCGGTCCAAACTCTGCATCAACAGCAATGCAGAAGCCAAACAGAGGAAAAGGAATAGTTATAGAAGAGTTAGACTCTGATGATGAGGAGACTGATAATTGCCCTCAACATGGAGACAAAGATTTTGATAAGAAAAATTCCAAATCAACCATGGAACCGTCGGTTGAGCATCCTGATGATGATTTTAGTGGTATGTTCTCTTTCTTTTTGTTTCCTTGTTTTATTTATTTTTTAATTATTGTTAGGTATTTAAAGGCTTTAAATTGCAGTAGTGCATGATATTGCGAAAAATTATAATTGTGTTGTTGTCATAAAACCTTGATTTGGCACTGAAATTGTGGTTGTGGACAGCTTTTTAATGAAGTTTTGGGTATTTCCATTGACTCAGCTTGCGGTTTCATACCTGGTCCTACCTCTAGGTAAAGGAGGAGGGTTATGCTAGAATCAATGTTTTGAATATTCAATATATATGAAGTTGGACTTTTTTTAACTGAATCAAGTAATGTTAGTAATTCATATAGCTGGATAAGGTTTTTCTTGTTTTTGACAAACAATATCTCATTTGCTTTACTAAAAAATTACTGTTTTGTTTGATTACTTCTAGAGAGAAAGAACAGCGATGTAAAATACAAGAATGACCATTACATGGCTGAACCTTCGAAGGCTCGAACATTTTCTTTTCAGAGTAGCAGAGTAACATATGGTGGAATAGATGGTGCATATTATACTTCTACTAGAACCAGAAGGATGGGGGATAATGGGGTATGGGATTTTCTGTTAGTTTCACTTGTTAGGATTATTATTGTTGATAATAGTATTTGATTTAATGCCATCTTTGTGAATCAGGTGGTAATGGAGGAAAACAAAGAAGCTGACACAACAACGGGCCAAGCAAAACATAGGATCAGCAGAGGAATCCATGATAAGGTGTGTACATCTGATTCATCTAAGAATACACAGTGAACTTGAAGGAGATGCACAATTGTTATATTTGCTCTTTCTTCATTCAAGAAGAAATCAAAACCTCATTTCAGAAAAAGAGAATGTTATTATGGTATTGTGATTGTTAACTTCTGTTTTAGTTTGAAAGGAAATGTAGAATTGTTTTTAATATGGATGTTAAGGTTGTCTATCATGTATCATATGTAGGGTCATTCAGTTTTAAGGAAGCTTGACTCGGATGGTAAGGTTGATACAACGCAGACACTGCACAATCTTAATGAAGGTTTGTTCATTATGTTTGTTTGATTATTAGTTTTCAATATAAAAAACCGTAGATTTTCTTTTTCTTCCTTTCAAAATTGATGTATTTTTTTCGATTCTTCAGATGAGCTTGCAGGATTTGAAGAAGCATGGAAAGGAAATAACATGGCACAGTTGCCAGGATTTGATGCTCACAAGAACATGGGTAAGCATTCATTTATTTCGTAAATATTCTGCTTGATCTATCTTCTGTCATCATTTCATAACAAGTGATTTGTGACATGAATTAATGAAAAAATTGTCTGAATTTTAGAGTTTGACAATGTTGTAGATTCTAGCGGTGGCAAACAGAACAGAAAGCAGGTTTGGCCACAAGCACGTTTGGAACCAGCAAGAAGAGAGAGAGGATTTCCATCAAACTATGAGGAAGGAAACAATTCTGGGGGAAGAACAAAGAAAGTTGTTAGAATTAATATTCAGTGAATGTTAGGAATTGAGTGGATTTTTCTTCGCATTCTGTTTGTAAACAGAGAATTGAGGTGTGCTTTAGTATCTTGATTAAGAGCATTGTAACTTTGATTCCTGATAAAACTTCTCGTGTGATAATAAATTGTAACTACTGTAAATATTGAGATTACATGTGAAACATGGTAAATTATTTTAAACTTTTAAATCAATTTTGCAATTTGTAATCAATTTTCTCATAAAAATTTATAAAATCGGTTTATTCCAACCTAAAATGACATAATAAAAAATTTAAATCCTAATTTACATGGTCAAGACATGTAAATTTATCATTTATAATTAGTTTTTCTTAATCTAATATAATTAATATTTATTAGAAGGATAAATAAATAAGTGAAATATGATATTATTTTTAATTTAAAATTTTAAGATATGAGATTATGAGTTTTTTTATTTATAAGTTATTTAATTTTGTTATTTTTAATAAAGTTTCAAATACATTTAAATTTTTAACATATTATAATTATTACATGATGATATATTAATTTGTATACATCATTATTATTAATATATTTTATAATTATATTCATACCGAATAAATTAAAATATTTTCAAAACTAAATAGAAATTTTCGATACAGTTACAAATTTTTTATAGAAATTTTAATAAAATGTAAGACGGTTAAAAGTATTAGTATTCATTTTTTTTATAAAATATTTTTACATACACAATATTATTATAAATTAATAATATAATATTGTTACAAACTTTAATGTATTCAATTTATAAAAAAATACAAAAACTAAAACTAAATAGAGTTATATGTCGAAACAAAAAAATGTTTATTATTATTTAAGGTTTAGATTTGGGTTTAACATCTTTTAACATTCATTAATTTATTAGTTTAACCTATATTTACATTAAGCAAAAGTAAATGAATGACTTAAAAACAATGAAAGCCAAAATTAAAAGAAGATAAAATGGCAAACCTTAACTACATATATTCAAAAAATTGAAGAAAGATTAACCAAAATAAGAAATGTATAAGATAAAGATGTTTAGGGAGAAAACACTTTTAGATACATTAGATTAAAGAATTAATCAGAAGTATAAAGAGATCAAATAAAACATTTACATAAAAACAATAGATTCCGATAAACATATAAGACAAATTAATACAATTCATTAGAAATTATATTTAAATTAAAATATTTGTTTTATACTAAAACCACGTATACCTCTAGTTAGTCATGTATCTGTCTGTTTTATGGTTATTATTTGACTTCGGTTTACAATGTTTAATCTTCATATTTAAGGTGTTAAAGTGAGTCATCGAGTTTTTTTTTCAATTAGTTAGTTAAATTCGACTTATTCTTTTTAGATAAAATTTTATATTTCGTTTAATTAATAGTATAGATTAGATGGATTGATTCATTTATCTACGTGTTTTTTTTAATTATTAAAATAAATGGATTAAATCAGTTTATGAATTTATATTAATATATGGATAAAAAAATTAAAAAATTAAATATTAAAAAAAATAAGACCTATAAATATGTTTAATTTACATGTTAAATTAGTTAGATTCATTTTAACTCATTAAAATAGTCTATTATAAAAATTAATTTTGAAATTTTTTTCAATCCTAGCTAGACTCCAATAAGATCATTCTAGTTAGCTAAATCCATGTTAAAAATATTTCTCTTCTTTTTTTTTTAATTAAAATTCTTTAAAAGTAATTTGAGAAAGTTTGAATCGAGGGGAAGAAGATGGGTCAATTTACAATAGCATATACCAAACATTTCCTCATAAATATAATTATTTATTGGAAAGTAATGAAAATACAAAGAAAATAAGTTAACATAAACAATTTAAACAGGATTTGCAGTTATTTTGCACTTAATCATTTTCGTTTTATCTTTAAATTAACATGAATACCAAAATCAGTTAAATAAACGTTGTTTTATATTATCTACAACTGTTAAATAGTTTTTTTTTTCATACAAGAGATAAAATATAATTTATATTTATCTTAATTTTTTTACTTCCCTTTAATATAAAATAATGAATAATAAAACATCGTTTTTGTCTTTTTAAAATTTTAATTCACATATATTTATAACAATTTATGATTTTAAAAATAAATATTTATATTTTAAAATTAATATAAATTAAAATTAAAATATAATAAAAATGTGGAAGAGATATATATGCGAAACGTTAGATATTTCAAACATTTATATCCTCAAACTTAACAGTTACAAGAACTATTATTTATATTTGTTAATATTTTTTTTATGTCATTAACTATTACATGCTATTTGTAATATATTTAAGAAAAATTAAAAGGAAAGAAATTTTTTTTATAATAATAAATATAACTATTTTATGTTTATGATACTTTAAAATTTGAATTTATGAAAATAAAAACATGATATGGAATAATTTGACCATTGTTTGTTAATTATACTAAAATGATAATATTAATTAATTAATTAATAATAATAATAATAAAATTGATTTTATCATGAACACAAGTAAATTAATTATATATTGTATGTTAATAATACATATATTTAAAATATTTATTGATGATGTTTCGTTTTTAGTCTTTGAAATTAAAAAAAATCATAAATTTAATAAATTATAGTTTTATTTCCTAAACACTAAATTCAAAGGATTACAAATAAGTTTAAAAACCTCATTTAATTTTTTTAATTAATATTTAGGAACTAAACCTATATTTTCTCAATCTTAATAAATTAAAATATATCCTTTTTAAATTTGAAAAATTAAAATCATCTTAAATTTAAGAATTAAAAAAAATAATTAAACCTAATTAAAAATATGTATGTCAATATTGACTGATATCTTTTGACTGTGGTCGTCAACATTTAATATTTGGTTGAAATGATGCCACAATTCAATTACATGTTAGCACTCTTCGGAGGTGTTTATTATAAGGTGCAATGGCAAGAGAAGAATTGTGACATTGGTTGATATTATTAGCAGTAATACTGTGTTATATCAGAACAGAAGCATGTTGAAGGCATTGGTGACAGTTGTGGCAGTGTTGATGATGATGAACATGGTGCAAAGTGAAAAGGAAGGTGGTGATGGGCTTTTATCGCTCAAGAGAACAGTGCGTGTTACAAATGATTTGACAAATGGAATTGTTCTCCTTCTTCGTTGTCGATCGAGAGATAATGATCTTGGAATCCATGCTCTTGGCAGTGGAGAGTATCAAGAATGGACATTCAGAGACAACCTTGCCCACACCACTCTTTTCTGGTGTGCCATGCGAGCATCCAATGTGCAGCTGAGTTTTGAAATTTACAGCTACAAAACTGATAATTTAGATTGTGATACGGAATGTTATCGAAGTTTCAGGAACGATGGAGCGTATTTCTATATTCAGGACCAGAAGAAATGGGAGAAGAGACAGTCATGGAATATTCCCCAACTCCATGTTTTCTAAAATCCTTGTACTATCTTTATTTACGTGACTCTACATCAAAAATCGAATAAACTATTATAATTTTTCATTTCTGTCTATATTTTTATTATTTTTTATTTTAATTATTAAAGTTTAATACATATATTAATTTTAAATATAAATATCAATTTTTGAAATTATAAATTATTAGAATGAAATAAATGTGAGACAAAATATTAAAGTGTTAAGAAGAGATAAGATAAGATAAAATTATAATTTGAAGGGATATGAAAGAAATAATATTTTATTATTATTTTATATTAAAAAATACTAAGGAGTATAATTAAAAACTTAGAGAAAAAATATAATATAAATATAAATTTATATTCTTTTTCTTTTCTATGACATAACACCCTATCATAAAATAATTCTCGTTGATTATAGATGTTATAAATATATTTTCTAATAATAGTTAATTTTTTTATATATAATAATAATAATATCTTTTTTATAACGGTTATTATATTATGAGATCATTTTAGTTTTTATCACATAAAAGTAATTAGTTGTTTAAGAAAAATACAAATTAGAAATCAGCTAATTACCCACTTTATTTAGAATAATCCTTCAATTTTATTTATCAAATAAAAATAATTAATTATTTAATAAAAATATAAATTAATTACCACTAGAATAATTACCCATTTCAATTAAAATAATTATTTAATATGTAAATTTTTAGAATTAAATCCCCGCCAAATTTTTGCAACCTGCGTTTCAGTTAATTTGTTATTATTATTATTATTATAAATAAAAACATTCAAATTATTTTGTGAGATTATATTTCCTAAAATATTAATAATTTGCAGTTTTTAAAAATTAAAATATTTAATAAATATTTTATTAAACAGTTTTTAATTTTTTTTACATTTTGAAAACTAAAAAAAAATTATAAAATATATTATTGTTTTAATATTGTCTTGATTATTATTGTGGTCAATATTATGTATTTTATCAAAAATAACTTTTTAAACTAGAAATATTAAACAATTTTTTTAACTTATTTTATAAAACAATTTAAAAAATAAAATTAAATCAAACAAACCATAAATATAACTATCTTTAGTTTCAGTTCCTCATAGTATTATTTTTAAGTCATTAAAATTTTCTTAATTTTAAAATAAAACATTATTAATTAAAATATGTAAAATAAAAAGGAATATTTATAAGGATCAAAATATATTTCAAAATTTTATACCTTATATTTTATCTGTTATAAGAATTATTACATACATATATTACATTTATATATATATATATATATATATATATATATATATATATATATATATATTACAAACTATAACATGTTCTTTTTATAACTATTTGATTTTTTTGTCTTATTCCAAATGAATCTAGAAACAAAATATTATTCATAATAATAAATACAACTATTTAATATTTATGATACTTTATGAATCTTTAATATTTGAATTTATAAAGGAAAAATGTTATAGTTGACCATTATTCTCATTATCAATATAATAATAATAATAATAATAATAATAATAATAATAATAATAATAATAATAATAATAATAAGAAGAAGAAGAAGAAAAAGAAGAAGAACAATTAATTGACTAACATTTACCATGAATGGAATTAAATTTATATTTCTTGTAAGTTAACATATATTAAATGTCAAAATAAATTAATAACGCGTAATTTAAAAAAAAAACTTTTGAAAAAACTTTTCATTAAATGATAAATTAAAAATAAACTTGCTCTAGTCTTTATTATATTGTACAATTAAAAAACAAATGTAAGATAGGTTAATTATAGTTTTAATAAACCTCATTTTTATTAAAGACATAGTTATATGCGTTATTATTGATTAATATACTTATAATCAATAAGGATTATAAAAAATATTAATAAGAATTAAAAATTTATTAAATTAATTACTTTTATCAATCCATGATTTTGTAAAAAATATTTTATTATAGAGACTAAACATAAAAGTGTTGACTATTTTGTTTTGACTACATTTAAAATTTCCTGAAAGTGACGCCACAATTTAGTTACTCAGTTTTTTCTTTCAATTTTTAAAAAAATTAATTTCTATTTATCTATTATTTATAAAGTTTGAAATTATATTAAATATTTTTTATTAATTACACCTTTATTTTTTTAATTATTAATTATTGGAAAATAAGATAGTAAATTATTATGAATAATTTGATAAAGGTATTCTTGAAAAGGAAATTAATAAATTTATTACAAAATATAAAAATCAATGATTTTATTTATGTTATAAAATCTTAAACTACACATAATAGGAAAGGTAGAGAATAACTTTTTGGTGGTTTTTATAAGTTGCAATTGTAAGAGTAGAATTATGCAAGTTACGAAATAGATGTCATCCCAACAATGTTGGGATTTCATGATCTCATCATTCATGTGCTTCATACATAAACTCAAATATCAGCAAAACAAATTACAGAGAATAATAGAATGGCCAAACTAAAATTCATGAGAATTAAGAGAACTAATGTTCCAGAAATTAAGCATCATTATTTTTTGAATTGTAATCTATTATCACTCCCAAGGTGAACTCATTTGTCAACATATTTATTGTCTTCATTCGCTGACATAAATAAAGACTTGTACACTAATTTCCTCTATGTGTTCCAAGGGACAACCTTTACATTCTTGAATGCAGTCACCACCAAAGTTGAGTCAATCTCAATCCACAACAGATGGCAACATTACGATAAGCCTTCTCAATACCAAGGATTGCAACTTCAAGGCACATGGTATGGTAGTCTATATGATTCCAAAAATTGATTTCCTAAGTCTTTTAATTATCAATAAATTATTTTTCAATATTTTATTTTTTTTATTAATATTGGCTCTAATCATAACAATCTTCCTTTTTTTAGAATACTTTTCCACACTTCTATTTCTTTGGTCAACATTTGAAGTTTAAGTTGTAAATTCTTATTTCTTATTGGAACATATTTCTTTCTTCTAATTTTTTTCATGTCCGTCCAAGAGTTCATTATGCGTTCTTCATTTCTAATTCTTTCACTTTGATACTTATTCTACCAAATTAAGGCATAATTTAAAAATTTAGCTATTGCTAATTTTATCTTTTGCTCTTCATTATATTTATTGCAAGCAAACATTCTAATTTTTACTCCCATTTTAAGTAAGTTTCAGAATCATTTTTTCTTTTAAATTTTGAGATATTTAACTTAATTACATCAACTCTAGGTTATTTTTGTTGTACCTCATTCTCTCTTCTTCTTCTCTTATCTCCTCCTTTATTTTCATGATTGTTTTGTTGTGTGTTGCTCCATTTAGTCCTATCTATCAATCATGACGTCCATTATTTTGATATTTTATTAGTTTCTCCAAATGTTGAATTAAAATTTTTATTTATATTTATGAAATTTCAGTATTTAGTGTTTCTCCTAACATGCTTCAACAAATATATTAGAAATAAAAATAAATTTATCCCTACAATACTTTTTCATGTATATACACTCCACACTCATATTTCACTCAATATGACTCTTTTGTAATGATAATACTAAAAATAATAATATTTTAGTATTTTCGAAAAAGAAGTAGCAATAATAATATTTTAGTATTTTTGAAAAAAAAATAGTAAAGAACAATTTTATTACTAACCAACAAGCAAGATAATACAAAATTAAAAAAATACATTTAAAATAAAAATTTTAGCAAACAATTAACGTACATCTCAAATATAAATATTGATAATTATATATATAAAAACGTTTTTTATCTTCTTTCTCTTTTTCTATTTTTTTATATATAATTGAAATTTAAAAGCAAAATTGGAAACATCATATATATATATATATATATATATATATATATATATATATATATATATATATTATATTCAAGAATGAATAGTAAAAGCAAGCACAACAGTGCATGAACAGGAACATGCATAGTAGTCTGGAATAACATTAATGATAGGTGTATACAACAGAACTTTTTTTAATAGCAAATGGTATGATTATAAGGAAAACAATAATAAAAATTGATATTTAGGTTTTGAAATTGAATAAAACAAATAATAAAATTGGGAATAAAAAACAAAATAGAGTTACTTGATGGAGGCGCCATAAACAAAGTTTTATAAACCTAAACCTAAAAATGATTGTTATAAGAATTAATAAATTTTTTATAAGATTAAAGATGTAAGTAAAAATCTAAAAGATATTCTCACCGTGATAAAATTATTTGTTGTTTCTTTTCTTAATTTAACAATCATAAATATAAATTTAGGAGTAGAAAAGTCTCGAGGGAGAAAAACCCATGAACTAACCAAGTTAATATCATTGGAAAAAAATTTGAGTTCTCAACAAGATCAATTTTACTCTCGACGAAATAAGACTTCAAACATCGATCTTTGAAGAAAGAATTGTTTGAGATCCATAAAATGTTGCAACAAATGTGCATAGAAAAGGATCAAAGAATTCTTTAAGGTCAAAAGATAAGGCTTTTAAAACGAAAAACTAAAAAATCGTACCAAAACTACATAAGTTAAAAAAATTTAAATCTACTATAAATTTGTTTATGTTGAAGATGATGGAACAAAAAAAAAAAAGAGGTACTATGAGAGGAAAAGATAATCTCTACGTTTTATTTAGTAGATGAAAGATCAATGAAATGGGATAAAAAATAAATGAATTTAAAGTTAGAATTTAAGAAAAATTCTAACATGCTAAATGAAAGATTGTCAATGTAAAAGATAAAAAGTATTTGAAAGATAAAAATGTTAATAAGACAATAAATTTAAATAAAGATATTATCTCTTACAAGAAAAAGATAATACAAATCACAAATAAGAGTGAACGAAGAAAAACAAGAATAAAAAAGAGGAATATATTAAATTCAAATAAATATATATTAAAATAAAAAGATATTGAAAATATATTTTTTATTTAAACTAAGAATTAATAGATTTTAATTATATTTTATAATAAAAAATATATTATATTATTATTCTAATTTAAATAATTAAAATAAAAATATTGTTAATATTTAATATTTTATTATAAAATATATAAATAAAATATTACCAGAGAAATTCCATTACATGATATGTATCAAAATATAGACCCAAATCCAACATTTTGCCTAAATCGCAACCTATTGCTTGGATATAGGTATGTTTGACTTATTTTAAGTGTTCTTTCATATTTACGTATTAAGTATCCTAAAGTTGCATGGTAAAAGTATATTTTTATTATATTTAATTTTCATCAGTAATCATAGTCATATTAAAATTTCATACAATTAATTTTGTATATTCATCAAATACATACTTAAATTTTATTTAATAATAAACACGACCAATTTAAATAATTTAATCATGTAATGTGATATGCATAATTTAATGTAAGTTTTGACTAATTTTGTTTAAACCATTTTGACTTTGTATTCGGTTCATTCTTATTAGTATTAGTATTAATAAGAATTATTACATTCATTTATTACCATTTTTATATCAAAATATATTTCAAACTTTTATATCTTATATTTTAAATATTATAAGAATTATTACATTCATTTATTACCATTTTTTATATGTTACTATCTGAGTTCTTTTTAATTTGATTTTTTTGTCTTATTCTAAGTAAATTCAAAAAGAAAACATAATTGATAATAAATAATGCATACAAATATTATATATTTTAGCATACTTTAGGATTTTAGTACGTATTTGAATTAAAAGAAAAAATCTAATAATTTGTTATTATTATTATTACTATAAAAGTAATAGTAATTATTATTGTTATATTATTATAACAATTTACAAATATTTATTATGAATGCAGTTAAATTAATTATTTGTTGTAAACTAATACTATTAAGAGTCAAAATAATTTAATGGTGTGTAATATATGATTTAAAACAACACCCAAAAAAATTTTCCATTAAATGATAACTTAAAAATATACTTCCTCTAGTATTTATTATACAGTACAATTTAGAGAGAAAAAAAGTCTTTGATGGAAGATAGGTTATAATTTTAATAAACACAAAAGACATAATCATGTATGTAATTAATTGATTTAATGATAATTAATAAGAGTCAAAAGTAAAATGTCAGCAAACGAAAAAAAATGTTAATAAAATAAAATAATTATTTTTTTAATGCTTGTGATTTTGTCTAAAGCTTTTTATAAATAATATATAGAGATCAAACCAAAAGTAGGAAAAGACTAACATTTAAGTGTTGAAAATTTTGTTTTGACTATATTAAAATTTTTGCTGAAATCGATGCCACGAATCGGTTACATGTTAGAAAGACTTTTTGGTGCTCCTTATAAGTTGCAAGTTTATTAATATTAGTATCTCAGAAAGATGATGAAGGCATTATTAGTGACAGTTCTGGTTGTGTTGTTGATGATGGTAACCATGGTGCAAAGTGAAGGAGGTGATTCGATTTTAGACGGGAAGAAACATGTGCGTGTTACGAATGACATGAAAGATGGGGTTCTGATTTATCTCCACTGTCGATCAAAGAATGATGATCTTGGAGTTCATGTTATTGCCAATGGAGAGTTCCAAGAATGGAGCTTCAAAGACAACCTCGGTGACACCACTCTCTTTTGGTGTTCCATGGATGCATACAACGTTCAAATGAGTTTTGAAGTTTATAGTGCCAAAACTGATTCTGCAAAATGTGATAAACAGTGCTATCGAAGTCTGAGGAAAGATGGAGCATATTTCTATTATCAATTTCAAAACATTTGGAAGAAGGAACTGTCATGGACTATTCATGAACCCCCAACTATGCCCCCCGCTTTCTAAACACTTTTCTCTACGCTTCACTGTCAAATCAAATGGTTAGAAATATAAATATGAGTTCAAATCTTATAACGAGGAACAAAAAAAAAAAGAAAGTTGAATTAATAAATAATGAAACCTCGTAATCTAATTTTTTTTTTATATTTTTTTTTATTTTGTTTCATTCACAAAAATCTTGATCCCAACAAATATCTATCATAGATATCTAGACAAAAATTAAATAAAATTATTAAAATTACAAAATATGTTCAATTTCGAGTTGCATATATTTTTTAATATCAATAAACTTCTTCCTTAAAAAAATGTTATTTTAAATTTTTAAAGTTTGACTAACTTTCGGAATCAATATAAAAAATATTAATATAAATCGGAATAACTAACGTCAATTTTTTTCGGAATAGTAACTAACCGACTTAACGTCTCATTATCACCATAGTCATTATGCGTAAACGTGTTCAAGTAAATTGTGGTTTTCCAAGTCCCATAATAATTGTGGTTTCCACGTCCACATATTTAAAAATGTCACCATAATTTTTTTACGTGAAGTAAGTACTAATAAAAAAAATCAACGTAGAGAATACATTTTACATTAATATAACCTTCTAAGTTACAAATGTCTCGAATTTAGTAATAAAAAAAAATAGTGGTTTTAGTAAGAATATTTTTCTTCTTTAACAAATATCTTTTCTTATTTATTCAAAGTTATATTCTTATTCAATCCAATGAACATCTTATAACATAAAAACAAAATGTTAACTTGCACACTTCAATGCCATTAAAATAACTTTAAAATTAAATTTCAACTAGAAATTAAAAAGAATGATTTTGGTTGAAACAACAATTTTATATATATATATATATATATATATATATATATATATATATATATATTAAATATAATTTAATATGTTAAAAACGAGTTAAATTGGATTGAGTATAATAATAATAATAATAATAATAATATAAAACTCAACCTAATCTAAGATTTTATTAAGATTAGATAGTGGGTTTTGTGTCCAACTAAATTCAACCTAAATCGTGTCACTTATACGTATGTTAAAAAAATTATATTTTAAATCACATAATAGTTTTTAGTTTAATTTTGATCTTATTAAAAATTAAAAAAATATCTAAATAAAAATAAAATCAAAAAATATTTTTAGAATTTAAATTATATTAATAAAATCAGTTTTTATTTAAGAACTTAATATATAAATGATAAGAGAATATTCTTTTAATTTTAAAATAAAAATTAAAAACTTAATTTTCATTTATCATTAATATTTTATTAATTTAAAATAATAATTAATTTTAATATGAAATAAATGAGTATTATAAACTTAATTTAATATTACTCTTAAAATAAATAAATTATTTATCAACTTAATAAAATAATATTATTTTTTATTTTAAAAATAATAATTATTTTATAAAATATGTATTAGTTTTATCTAATTGTACGTGATTGGTGACGAATGACAATTATTTGATCACCACATGTCATATATTTCACTAAAAAAATGAAAAGAGGAATAGAGCAATACTCATTTATAAATAAAACATTAAATCTTTATAAATTAAACAACAAATCTATATTTCGGAAGAGAGAATCTATTATAAAAAAATTCAAGACTAATCCAAATAAGTATATAATTATAACAGTGGAAATCTTCTTTGTGCAGAAGACCTATATTGACTAACTTATAAGCACATCTCTTACTCTCTCTAAATATATGAAAAATATCAACTTAGCATATTTTTATAACATATATTAAAAGTCAAATATATTTTAATGATGTGTGAGATTTCTTTTCTTCCTAGACAAACATTTGATAAAACTTTTCATTAAAAATAAAACTTAAAATATATTTAACTTTAATATCACGTGTTTTATCAGAGTAACATATTAAAATTTAAAATGTCTTAAAGGCGTGAGATTTTTTTCTTCCACAAAAACACTTGATAAAACTTTTATATTTCAAACTTTAATTGTATGTATTTATTATGGGTTAGCATATATTAAAAGTCAACAAAATTTTAATGATGTGCGAGATTTTCGTTTCTAGAAAATACTTGATAAAACTTTTCAATAAATGAAATTTTTTTTAAATATATTTTAAACATTAATGCAAAATGTATTTGTTATGTTAGATTTTTTTTCGTCCAATTCATACTTTTTCGATGTAAAAAAAATGTGATATTTTTTAAATTAAAACCAATTTTTTTTATGTGAAACTATATAGGATATTACATAAAAAATAAAATTTATGCCAAAATGTCACTTTTTATATCGAATTTCTTGTGGTTTGATGTAAAATTTGTATTATATATCTTTTAGGACTTTATCTTCTTTTGAACGATTGCGACAATAATGTAGTGACTTTTTTTATATTTTTCATCCAGGATGAGTTACAACTACACCATTATTGTGACTCGCAAAAGATACAAAAACATCATAATAGCTAGTTAGTTGGTCTTTAAAAAAAATATTAGGATTTTGTAGGACATAAATATACGTCAGATATATCAAATTTATGTTGAATGTTATGTGTTTGATATAAAATTACGTTATTTAGTTATTTTAATATAAATGTACGTCTCTTATATTAATTATATTAATATTAGAGGTTAATCAAAGATAAAAAGTCTAAAATTAAATACATAAAAAAAGTCTATGTATTAGTAAAATTTTAATAGAATGAATCTAAAAATAATATATTTTAAACAAATTACTCAAATAAAATCTATATTAATTTATTTATTAAAATAAATTTGTTTACTATTCAAATGTAGTTTTTATTCTCTCTCATAATTTTTTTTATTTTTCTCTTTTTTCTTTCACTTCTCATAATTTAGTTTTTTTTCCTCAATTCTCCCCCTAATCTCCTAATTAAATTACTAAATTAAAATTTAATAAAAATATGTTAATTTAAAGACAACATTGAAACTAAAAATATATTAACTAAATGTTTAATATTATGATAATAAATAGTTTTATTTATTTTGACAATAAATAATTTTATTTATGATAATATAAATAAATAATTTAAAATTATTTTATCATAATAAATAATTTATTTTTCTCTCTCTTCATTCACTTTTTATTTTTCTCTGTACTTTTTTTTCCTCAACTCTCCCACTTATTCTCTTGATTAAATTACTAAATTAGAATTTAATAAAAATGTTAAAACAAATATTTTGAAAACAACATTGAAACTAAAAAAAATATTAACTAAATATTTAAAATTATGATAATAAATAATTTTATTTATTTTGACATTTACGATGATATAAATTACGATGATGTAAATAAATAATTTAAAATTATTTTATCATAATAAATAATCACTCATCTAATTAAAAAATATCAAATATTTATAATTTAAACATATTTTTATTTAATATTTTAATATAGTTATGATAATTAGGTATTTAAAAAAAATATTTATTAAAAAATATTTTAAAAAATCTTAATAATTATAACATAACAGTAATATTTGTAAATTTTCAAATTTATCATATAACATTTTTTCTTATATAATATATTAAATTATAGTATTATCATTTAAATATTTTTATTTTTCAATACTAATAATAAAGGATTCAAAGTTATTAAATTTCAATATAATATTTTTAACTAAAGAATAAGATGAGGTGAGAAAAAAATGAAAGAGAAAAAAAGGAAAATAAATAAAGAGAGAGAAAAATAAGAAAATAAATAAAGAAAGTGAGGAAAATAATTGCATTACGGTAGATGAATTTATTTCTCTTTATTAAAGTTTGTGTATGAATAATAAATATGTTTAATTAAGAAAATAAACTTAAAAAGATTCTATTTAAATAATTTTTTTAAAATATATTATTTATGACATTGATTCAATTTAATATATCGTCTTTATTTTGGGTTAACATATATATTAAAAGTATAAAAATAAAAAATTAAATGATGAGTGAGATTTTGGTTTGTGAAAACACTTGATAAAACTTTTCATTGAATGAAGACTTAAAAGATGCATATACCAACAAACTTAGCAATCAAAGGTTTCAAGTTTCTGTGGGCTGTTCCTGATGGACATTTAAAACTTGCTGAAAAAGATGCGAGAATTCCGTGAGACCTTTTGATGGTCTCTATTAGTTGAAATTGGAAGAGTAGAATTGTGCAAGCTATTGAAACAGATTCCGCGAACGGTTAATCATCATAACCATCTCAGAAACATGATGAAGGCATTATTACTCACAGTTGCGGCGATGTTGTTGATGATGGTAAACACGGTGCAGAGTGAAACACAGGGTAACGGGTTGTTTGGGGACATGAAACATGTGCGTATGATAAATGATATGAAAGAGGGTGTTCTTGTTCGTCTCCATTGTCGATCCAAGAATGATGATCTTGGAGAACGTGTTCTTGCCTTTAGACAGCACTGGGAATGGAAGTTCAACGATAACGTCATCAGCTCCACTCTTTTTTGGTGTAATATGCATGCAAACAATGTTGTGAGAAGTTTTAGAGTATATTTTTGCGATGATGATTATCTACGATGTAACACACAATGTTATCGAAGTCTGAGGATGGATGGAGCATATTACTATCATCAAATTCGAAATGTATGGCAGAAGCAACTGTCATGGATTGTTGACGCATAAGGGTTATTTTATGTATGCTAAACTATCAAATAAAATAAATTTTTCTTATCTCCCTTTTTCTCATTTCATCAAAATTTATTATCTTTAAAAGTTAGCTTCTTATCTCATTTAATCCCACCAATTATTTTGTGTTAGTTCAAATTCATCCTTCAAATTATTAGTTTAATTCATTCTTAAAAAAATATCTTCTTCTAAATAGTATTTTATATTAAGATTTGCTCAAAGTTACGTAAGTATTTAGTTTTTATTTTTACCAAGAGATGAACGCGAAGAAATACAAATAAAAATAAAAAATAAAGTTATTTAGATTAAATAAATTAATTTGATTGATTAAAAATATAAATAATAAGATAAAATAATAATTTTTTTTTAGATTTTAACTAAATTAATAATTTAAATATAGTTTAATATAAAATAATTATTTTAAAAATAAATAAAAATTTATATCAAATAAAATTAATTTACATATAAATTATAAAATATCTTTTAATATTTAATATATATATATATATATATATATATTTATAATCATTTTTAAATAATATTGAAATTGTAGAATTTCTTTTAAAATAGTACTGATACTTATTTTTATATGTTTTATAAATTTTGAACTATTATTTTATTTTTTTCAATTAAATAAATTTGTATTAAATGAGTATGTTGTTGATAAATTAAGAATAAAATTGTGTATTATGTTATCTAGTTTGTTTTTTAAAAATGACAAAAATATTTTAAATTTCAAATTATGCTGGTTACATTGATTTTTTTAATGTAATTAATATTTATTTTATTATTATAAATATAGAAGGTATCACACAAAATTATATAACTTTAAAAATATTAATTAATGGTTGAGTTAATGTATTTTTTTGAATTTGTAAATGTATTTTTTTCTAATTTTAACCGAGTTTTTCATCATTCTATTGATGGCAGGATGAAACTTTTTTTAGAAATCTTTAATGCTAAAGATACACTGTCTTTGTACCAGTTTCAATTGTTCATAATTAATATTTTTCTTTACGAATAAGACAAACTTTATTATTTTTTATATTATAATCAAACAAGTTTCTATCAGCACAACAAATCTTTAATAGTGATTAATAGTAAAAAGTAACGTAACATGAATCTTAAAAAACTCACAAGCAAATCGATCAAACTTTTCAACCCTTCATCCCATAACAGTTTTAAATCTTCAATCAATAGACTAATATATATATATATATATATATATATATATATATATATATATATATATATATATTTATTTATTTTATTTTTTTATTTCTTGATTGTCTTGTAATTGAGATCATCTTAAACAACCTAATATATTTACGCTTTAGATACAAGTTTGAAAATAAGTTATAAACAAAAATTATATTTAAAAATCAATAATTATGAAGATCTGACGTATAATTTGATATGTATTAAAATAACCTATATCTCTATGATCCCAAAGATATGACTTTAAAATAGTTAAATAAAACAAATTCATCTTTAAGATAACGAAAAATATCTCTTATTAATCCAATATCATCTATATATTATTAATATATTTAACAAATGTGATATAAGTTAAGTATAATTAACAATACATTAATACTCATTATACTTCAAGATCAAAAAGTTTTTCATTATTCTTTTAAGATCTCAAAGAATCTTTATTTATATTTAAAGATCTTAAAATCATGGGAATGTATAATGGGTATGATTTATAAAGAACCTTTAAAGTACTCCTTTTATATAAATACTCAACTATAACTTAATCAAAATCAATATATGAGCGAAAATTTAAGAAAAAAACAAGAGATACTGTAAAAATATATTTATTTAAATATTAAATTTGTATTGCGGACAAAATTTTGTTCTTACCACCTTCTTTATCTCAAATTCTTTATATTATAAAAAAAATGTCTTTTTAAACTTTGAGTTTTAAAATAAATAATAATTATGACAAATTCATTTTTAATAAAGACAAATAAGATCATTCCTTTTTTTTTAAATAAAAGTACTCAAATGATAATACCATATGCATTTTTATTATTTAAATGCATTAATGGACTTATTTAATTTATAATTAAATAATTCTCTCCATAATGTACATTTTTTACAAATTGAATCACTTAAAAAAATTTATATAAGTATCAATTTTAAGATAATAGTATAAATAGGTTATAACAACATTCATAAAACATAAATTAATGTACAAATATATTAATTAAATATTTAAAAGTATTTTCTTAAATTGCAAATAACCCAAAAATTAATATTGCGTATTGTAACGACCTTAGAAATCGTTATTATAATGATGTCTTCGCAAAGTAGTAAACAAGTAAATAACAACATCTATTTTACATTATATTACTGTAATTGTAACATAGATTGAAATTCCGGTTCACTAACGGAACTTCAAAATATAGTAACATAATTTATTTATATATTATACATGTAAAAGTAGTTCCCTCAAAGCTATCCCATCGAACTATCCATGTTGTTCGATAGTCACATCTCCATCTCTCAACTCCCGATCTGCTCCCACATAAAAGTGATCATCGCGAGTCTCATCCACATGGAAAAATAGGGGTAAGTATTAAATCATTCGATATAATAAAACAGATATAGAAGTAATAATTATATATTATGATCAATTACAAAATCATCAACACACTAAGACACATTCCGAAGTATACCCTAACTATGCCCGAACTCAGAGGCTATCATCCGTGGGCACATTGTGATCGGTACCGCGAGTACCATTCCGACCACCCTCCACACGAGTAGGATTACTGGCGCTCTTCATCACTCATACCTGGAGTACCCTCCGAGCGCGCCACCAGTCATCCCCCCATCGACTTCTCACTACCTGATCTCGTAGTCTACTTGACCCGACCAATCAGTGAAGTCTGGGACCTCATTCAGAATCCTCCGACATAGTTATTACACTAATGTACTCTGTACCACCCCGGGTACCATTCAAACATAACAAAAATTATTCACATTTGCCGGATTCTGGACCACCTGTCCTCACGGCTCATTCGGGTCAATAAAAATAGTATTTGACTCGATTCGGCACCAACCCTCTTGCTCGGTCTAGCTAATATATAACGTCTCGGGACCGATTCTGGGCATCGGCCCTCGGGTTCGACTCGACCCACACACGTCACAACACACTACTTTCATTCTCTCTCTCTTTTTATATATATATTTTTCTAAAATCATTTTCGAAATCATTTCCGAAATCATTTCCGAAACTATTTCCGAAACTATTTTCGAAATTATTTCTGAAATCATTAAATTACTATTTTGCCCTTAATCTTTTCTTAAAATTTCATGTATGTCCCTGAATGACTATTTTACCCTTGGACATTTTTGAAAATTCCTTCCATGTCCCAAAAATGACTATTTTGCCCTTGGACATTTTCAAAAATTTCTTCCATGTCCCGAAAATGACTATTTTACCCTTGAACAATTTCAAAAATTCTATTTATGTCCCTAGGATGTAAAATGACTATTTTGCCCTTGACCATTTTCGAAAATTACATTTATGTCCCTAGGATGAAAAATGACTATTTTACCCTTGATCTTTTAAAAAAATCCCCACCATATCCCTTTCTTCTTCCTTCGCCCAGTAACAGTGTCGAATTTTATAGATTTTGGCAGATTTCAAATTACTCGATTTTAGACAACCAAACTAGTCCCAAATCGAAATTAAAAATGAATTATATCTAATTTAAGTTGAAAACAACAATTTTACCATATAATTCATCCTTAATTTCAAGAATTTAATCAATATTTAAAACTTTGCAAAATATGAACAAGTAATCACCTCACGTGCGCCATTTTCAAAATCCAGGTTTCAAATTTCTCATTTCAATCACCCAAATTAGTTCCAAATCAAAATTAAACCATAAACATATTCAATTTAAGTTAAAAACAACAATTTTATTATATAATTTATCCTTAATTTCAAGAATTTCAAAAACTTTCAAACGGTGAACAGTTCATCAAAATCAGAAACTCTTCAAAATCAGACATTCAAATTATTCATATCTCTACTCCTATTCCTTATTCACATAGTACCCAGCAATTCAATTTCATATATTGAATGAATTAAACTTCTCCTTACCTTGTATCGTATTTCTATCGAAGTTTTCCCACTTAATTCAAACTCTCTCCTGTTTCACCAGATCATACAGGAGTAGAGTATCCACTACTACAGAAAACACTTACTACGACAACATCCAACGTCGGTTTTTATGAAGACCGACGTTGTACAAGACACGGTGGCAAACTTGTAATTAAGAAATAATATTTAACGTCGGTTATAAAAAATCCGACGTAGTAACGGAAAAATAACGTCGGTTAGATGACAGACGACGTTAAATGTTTAAATTTAATGTCGGTTATGTATAACCGACGTTGAAATCCCAAAATCAATGTCGGTTCCATGATTTACCCGACGTCAAAAACATTATTCACGTCGGGTTTTTTAATAACCGACGTTGAATGTCCTATGATACCTAGACTCCAAGGCGCGAAGTTGTTCTTTTGCTTCTTCTTCGTGCCCACATACCTCCCTCCTTCTGCTTCTTCTTCGTGCCTACATACCTCCCTCCTTCATTCCTCACTGTCGTGCACTGCTACCTCAGTTTGCTGTGGTCTGCTGCCTCAGTCCTCACTGCCATGCTCTGCCCCCTCGCCGCCCCTTCGCCGCCCACTCGCCGCGCTCTTACGCGGCGTACCCCCGTTGTTGTCGTGTGTGTGGTAGCCCTCGTTTCCCTAAGGAAACCCCTTCTCATCAGGTTAGATTAAGTTGTATGGATGATTTACAACATGCATTTAACATAAATATGGATTATTTAGAGCATTTCCTGCGTATGAACATTAGAAAGATGATGGATGATTTTGTATGGTTTGATTTGATATAGGTTCGTTTAGGCTTTTGGAAGTTTGTTTTCGGTTTCGAAGCGGTATATACTCTTTCATGTAGATGTACACGTTTT